CCAACCGTTTAAGATTCGGTTGCACAAGGTGAACTGCTTTCATCAACTACTGACTATTTTTGAGGGACAAGTTACTTCTTGATTGCTTGCATCCTCTTGAAGGGAGGCCATCTCAAACAGAAGCCTTCCGTTGCAGGCCAGTCAACGTAGGGCTTTGTTGAAGGGGAGGGTTCACTTGAGCCTTTGTCATGGAAGCGGAAAAAGAGGGGCACAGACTATGCGCAAGTGTACTTGACGATGGGAAAGTGTGTTGTTACTTGTCCTACGACAGTTCAACGATGGCTTGAAAGTCTAAACTGGGCGTTTAGCACGCTCAGTCAGTTGGCCAATTTGGCAGGCGTGCTTTCGCAATCCATGACGGTAAACGCTGTTAGGATTAACGGATTGTTAAACGCCCTGTATTTTCATTGACATCCAAGGAGGTCAGTGGTTGGAGGGTGAAGGATGCATTGTTGTCAATGAGCAGACGGGTCTAAAATTAGGCGTGCAGATTTCGTGTGGGAGCTGTTTCAAAACAAATGGTTTCTGTCAAAGCACTCACCCCTACCACTTGGAAGGTGAGAAGCCAAAGTGATTGCTTTGGTTGTTGTTGTTGTTTTTTGTAGAATTCGGGCTTCAAGTACCCAAACTTCACTACAGGTATGGAAGGTGACGAGGTGGTTCAACTGCCCGACGCTTTGATTGCTGTGGACGGGAGCCGAGTGTACGAGCCTTTGATCATGTTCAACTACCTCATCGAGGATGATGATGTGGCTTTTAGCTTGGAATTCCAGCCACAGCCGCTGCCTCCTCAGGCCTGTCCTCAGTTTCTTGTTGTTGCAAGGTGAACACCTCGCTTGCTCGCTCACTCACTCACTTCCTCTTGCGCAGTCCAAATCTGCCCTGAGTGGACTGTGAGATGTTGCCAGCCTGGAGGTAGTTGTATTCACTGTATGGAGGCTAGAAGGCGAAATGCACAGAGTAGCGCGATTGTCTGAGTGTGTCAGATCAGCGCAGACCGAAGGAAGTCAGAAGTTATTCACCTCTTTTGTCCTACTAGGCACATATTCCCTCCCAATTTGGCTGCACAGTCGGATGGACGAGGTGAGGACTTCTGGGCCATCATACCTCCACAAACTTCAGTTTGCAGTAGGTTTCCATTTTGGAGCTTTGGACTCCACTTTCTGCTCCATTTAAAACCTTTCCTTACCTGCTGTACGAACCGTCAGTAGTTGCTTGCTTACCATTTCCCTTATTTGTCTTTCAACCACGGCCCGCGACTTCTCTTGGTGGAAGTGGAGTCGGTGGACAAGTGGAGACCACAAGCACGTCCTACGTGGTATACATGGAAATTATCCGTGCCAAGTGGTTTCTGAATTCGGGCCATGTATGGCTACCTCTCAAACAATTGAGTCGAGTCATTTTCACTGCCTCAAACCTTCAAATTACTTTTCTGTCACTTCGAAGCCTTTGTGATCTTCATTTCCAGCTCGCGTTGAGTTAACTTTTAGACGCACTTTACTATTGTGAAGGCGAAAATTGTCGCAAAGCAGAAGTACTTGAGGAAGGCAGTCCTTGCTGGCTGCTCTATGAAATGCCATCTTTAATGCCTGAGCAATAGTTTGTGCAAAGCGACGCTTCAATTTTCACTGTCAGCGCCTAAAACCTTAAGCTCTCCTGCTCGAGCACCTGTGGTGCCATCAGCATTCCACCAAGTCGTGGCAAATGGGAATTGTGACCATAAGGTTTTTGCATTTGTGGCATATTATCGTGATACACTCCTCAAAAAGGATAGTTGTTGCAACTGGGGCATAGTGGGCGACCAGAAGCGTAGACGGTAATCAGAGCTCTTGGCAGTCGTGACTGTTTGCTGACACCCGAGGCGCCACCTTTCGTCCTTGTGGAGTTCGTCCCAGAAATGCGTGTTGCATTGAAGTGATCTCGAGGTCTGCCTTAGCATCCAAATTGGGTTGTTGTTCGCTACTTTCCTGAATGTTGAAGGTCTGTGGGGGTGAGGAAGTGCTTGCATCCATTTGGTTAAGCATGACGGAATTTGAGTGGTGGCAGCTCTTGGCTGTGAGCAATTGTTGTTGTGCTAATACGCTGACTCGGTGTTCACGATGAGGTCTTTCACGATTGGGTCAAAATATCACACGAACGACCAGTGGAGGGTGTGGATTGAGACCAAACAGGGTTTGTGAATTCAGTGCGAGGCATTGTGTCACCGTCATGTCGTGTCCTTAGTCTTGGGTCTTTTGCGTCCGTGACACCTTCACCTTCGCCAACGCCTACCTGTCCCTACACCACACCCTGCTCCATGAAATCACTCACCACCGTCGTCTGCCACTGTCTTGACTGAGAACAATGGATTGGACTTGGATGGATTGTGTCGACATGCTGGAACTCGCATGTCCTACACCTTTGCCGCTTGTCCATGTTATACCGCAAGTTGAAATGCCCCTTTTCGTTGTGGATACGCTCTGAACTTTGATGCTATAAAGAGGACATGAGGCTTCCGACGTTAACACCGAATTCTCTATGGATGTTTATTCCTATTTTACTTATGCGGTAGAGGCGCATGAAAGATTGCTTGTTGGGTCTATGCTTAACTCATCTCTTCAAAGCAAAAGGGACGTCACTCGAGGAGGTGGAGCGGAATCACACATTCTTTGTGAGCAATGTGGACTTCCACAGAGCAAAGGTGTCGGCGCTTGAGTTGGCCAGAGGTGTGAAGATGACAAGGAAGGACGCAAACACTTTCTTCGTGGGCTACCGTCAGCTGAACGAGGAGGAGGTGGACAGGTACTCGACAGAGAATCCACCGCCTCGTCCGTATCCTCACGAAAGTCAGATCAACGTCACTGCACGTGTGCGGGCATTTGTGTC